CACGCACCCTCCTACACTACCACCATCTCCTCATCCTCCTCCTCCAGCCCTCGCTGTGCTGCCTCTCTTCTTCGTCGTCCTACCTCTCGCTGACCCCTTCCCATTGCCCTCGCGAATCGATTTGTTATTGTTTTTGTGTCTGCGGTCGTCGCGGCGAGCAGAGCGAGCGGGGTGTATATCGGTGGGTGGCAGCCCGGCGACCAACGGGGTGGCGGGAGCGGAAGAGGAGGGAAGAGAGGCCGCGGTAAGAGAGCACTTTCGAAGCTCGAAAGAGATGGACGAATAGATACACACTGGCTGACCAGTGGTGTAGCTTGTGTATGTGTGTGTTTGGATCACATTTTCCTCCATCCGCCCATTTCGAAAACAGTGAATTCTTTTCAACGATGAACAGCATCGTCGTCGTCGCGTGCAGTACGCATCGACGGTACGATAGATCTTCTAATGATACATGGATAATACCTCGTTCTTTCGGATAATTCCTCTCATGTGTTTTCGTAAACACATCGCTTACGAGTATCGTACACTCGAGTAACATTTGTTCGTTCGATGAACGGCGGGTGGTAGAGATATTTTATCCCACGATGAGTAGAAAGATTCTCGGTCGCACTCTTTTTCCCCCCGGCAAAAGAGAATCTCGTTAGCTACGCCACTGGTTCCACCACCGAAAAGAGTGAGAGAAAATGGGTGTGCAAGGATGGAAGCTGGCACAGTGATGAGAGAGCAAGAGGGGCGGAGGAGATAGGGGGAGATGGTGGGTGGACGGAAGAAACGACAGGGTGAGAGGGAGGAACCGCGAGGGTTAAGCAGAGAGGGGGTTAGTTGCTGGTACTCGCGGAGCAGAGGGAGACAGCAGGGGGAGGAAAATGGATCGGATTGCGTGGTCGGCACACGAGGCTGGCTGGGTATGAGTGCAACGGGATAAAAGAGAGAGCAAAAGTAAGAGGGCAAGAGATAGAGATGCGGTTTAGGGGTGGCAGCGTGTAGGTGGAACAGAGACGGAACAGGAAAAGCACGAGAAGAGCTAGAACGGAGAGGAGTGACGCGTGGGAGCGAGAAAGTTGAGGTAAGACGAGGGATTCGTTGGCTTGACAGGTGACAACCGATCGGACCACTGACGTCACAGATCACTCGCTCGACCGTACGCTGCTACACGCACAAAACGCGATTTACTGCGGCACACACATACACACACGTACTACGTAGCGACGGAGATAGTGAGAGAGATAAAGAGAGAGCGCGCGCGCGCGCGACGTGTCGTGCATCACGCCGTGTTACTTCCGTTCCGTGCACAGTGTACGTCATACGTAAGCTTTCCACGCTGCGAGAAAAAAAGTACCGCGCACGCGCGCGAGAGAGAGAGAGAGAGAGAGAGAGAGAGAGAGAGAGAGAGAGAGAGAGTGAGAGACGGGCATGGGATAGACAGAGAGAGACAGATGGAGGATCAGAAAAAAAATTGACGGTCCAATAAAGATAGAGGTGAAAAAAACGGAACGAGGGAAAAAGAACGCGGGAGAGGGAGACGAAATTTTTCGGCGGAAGTAAGTAGTAAGTATTTACGATGCTAACCGGCCGATAGCCCCGCGCGACGCCTCTATCTGGTTACCATTACACTCGGATGTATGAAATGCGCCAGCAGCATACACCATCCCCCCACAATAGCCCTATTTATGATTGGGCAAAATTGCTTTCCATGCGCAGAATAAAATCGCGCGCGGGCGAGGAAAAATCCGCGGGGGTTGGATGCACGCGAGTTACGCGACCTGCGCCGCGCTGCTCCCATCGCGATACCCTGCGTTTATCAAAGGATGATGCTTCGCGTCTCAACTTGGCTCCCTTCGATTAATCATCGGCTGATGAATGATCTTCGTTCTTTCGATTTTCTTTGCGGCATCACTCGCAAAATTTGGGAAAAATTAAATATGGCGAGAGGTCGCGGTCATGCGTACATGCGCCCTCAGCCCCATTTTCTAGTTCGCCAATCAGCGAGTACGAGCTGATTTCAAAGAAATTCCGTTCGTAGCGCTATGTTCGTTTGAAGGTTCATACAGCGTGTATCGCGAAATTTATAAAGATATTTATACTCCGTTACATTGAAGAGTAATGGCCTTTTTTTCTGTGTCATTTCATCACCCCTTTTATCTTTCACGTAGTTAAATGTAATCAGTATCGTAGCGTAACAATAGTGACTATTAATCAAAAACGCTCCTATTAGTTTCCAAAATATGGCGATATTCGCTTAAATTATCATGTGTGGAACGATATTCCTTGAAAAAGTGAAATCGTCGAATCTGCGCTAAAAATTTATTAACTTTTCGCGTTAAATATGCAAACAATGCGTAATAGAATTTCGATTTAATTTTTATTGTAAACATTTAATCTTTATATAAAAATAACGATGAGCAATTCTTAATGATATTAAATACTTTAAATGAACCACTTAATATTACAATGTTACACATGATTCGATGCCTATCAATTATGACTTTGCATCAGAGACAAGGATGCTGTTTTTAACACAAGAATTTGTAAATTGCAAAGTTCTTTTTCTAGCCTGAAAACATAAGGATAAAATATTAACATATTGTATTATATAATATAATTACTAAGAAACAGTACTTGCAATTCTGTACCTTTTTTGGTAATCTTCAATATCATTAGCAGTACTGACAAACTCTTTAATACCATTATTAACAGTTTCGTATGATTCCTTTTTTGTTCCAATCAAATCCATAATAGACTTTAATGTCTCTGAACATGATTGTAAGAGTTTGCTTGTTTCTTCCCATTCTTCAGGTGTATCGGGAAGAACTATATTATTGCAACGAAGTACATCTAAAGGTCGTAGAAGACTATGTAACTGAGATAGAATATTTTCCAATGTTTTAACATCTTCACCTTCTGTGATTAAATGGAAGTTAAATATTAGAAAAACATGTTACTTATCGCATGATACCTTATGATTTGCAGACACTACTTACTAGTACAATTATGCACATCTATAATTTGTGAATCAACCTCATTTTGTATCCTAGTCAAATTTATTATATCTCTTTCTCTAATTTTCAACTTAAATAGTTTTTCTTCATTCTGCTCACATTCCTTAGCTATAGTTGCCAATTGAGATAGATATAATTTCTCTTTCTCTTCTGCCTTCTTTTTTAAGATTATTTCTGTCAGAATATTTTGTAAATATTCATCATAAAGAAGTTTTAGTTCTATGTCATCTGAATCTGAATCAATAATTCCATCCAATGATGTTTGTGTAGGAAGTATTGACATACGATCCATTGTACTTCCTTTCTTTGTGAAACCTGAATTGTTAAATGACCTAATATTTTAATCCTTAGAGCTTTATGTTAGTAAGAAACAGAATGAAATATTTTACTTTGTGGTAAAGCAAAGTCAGATGCTGCCATTGTTTGTCTATGGTGAGAACTGCTTGCACGAACATTTAATGTGCTCTCTGCTAAGTTCCTTCTTACTAATTCTGGTGTAGAGACACTGCGTATGCTAAAAATGTATAAAATATGTATTATATGAAATCAAATGAACTATATGAAAAACTACAAAGTATTTTATTTTTTTTACTATGTAGTTCGTTTTGCTTTTGATATTTCCGAATAATCCTTCTGCATCTTTTATTAATAATTATCTTTTTTCAATTAACTTAAAACTTTTAATCGATAGAACGTATTTTGTGGCATTAAAAATAATCCCTTATATATACGAAATTTGAAAAAACTCCAAATACTGACATTTAACTGTAAAAAACACAACAAGGTTGTAGAATAGTCAGTTTGAACCTATTCGAATTATTTTTCTGACGTTAGTGTCGCCCTCTGTAAATGTCAACACTCAATTGTTCACACATGGGAATAATAACAGGAGTTATAGAAGTGAACATTGTAATGTAATGATAACATAAAGTCGTTAACAATCGTTCAAAATTTTACTAGACTGTTAATAACAATTTATAATATATCATGGGCAAGGTATTCTTTTTATAATACGATTTTATTTCATTTCCATGTAAAAATTATAATATCTAATCATAACTGATGACTCTTATCTTAACTTCTATGGTTACTTAAAAAAAATTTATTTCATCGCTATAATACTTGAACAATATTATATAACTCTGTAATGAACTGCACTACTATACAAAAATAACGAAATGTTTTTATAAGGAACTTAGAATGATGATAAAATTTGTAAAATATTAAATTTACATTCTTTTAAATTTCTTTTTTTAGCACAGTAAAAGAGACGCTGCACCAATGTTAAAAAATATATTAGCCCTGGATGTTCGTTTTACAAAAGGTTTTGTAAAATGTATGGAAACACTGTTGCCTGTGAAACAAATACAAGTATATTATACAATGTTAGAAGTATGTCCATATGTTTTATAGTAATAGAATTAACTTTCAAAATATTTTAAGAAAGAATTAGATATCTTTACACCTATAACTTTGTGGTTGTTATTAATTGTAATATATTATGTTTCTTATCTATACAGATATCATGTCATGGTATACCATGGATAGCTTCATTACTTGCACTTATTTGGATTCTTAATAGTAAGAGGTTATACCAAGTGCAAGTTAATTTACTGATAGGTAAGCACATTAATTTAAGTAGTTAATGATCTGTAGTATATATCAAAATGTAACAAATCATAATGATAAAATATTTTTTTACAACATTATTTTCATTATCATATTTTTAGGTTTGGTGTTAGATATTATTGTTATTGCTGTATTAAAATCAATTGCAAGAAGAAGGAGACCTGCAGTTAATACTGATCCTCTATCAATGGGACCTGACAAATATTCATTCCCATCAGGTCATGCTTCTCGCTCAATGCTTGTTTTTTACTTCCTTAACTATCTGTGGCCTGTGTCTGGCATCTATCTTATACCTATATTAGCATGGATGTTTGCTGTAGTTATGTCTAGACTTTTAATGAGAAGGCATCATATTCTTGATGTTATTGCAGGACTACTTCTAGGCTACATTGAAGGAATGACCATGGGTCTTTTGTATTTAAATGCTGAAACTTGCTCATCTTTAATATCTTGGTTAACTGATGAGAAAATAGATGGTGCAGACTATGATGTTTGAAAATTACTTTACTTTTTAAATTTGATATTAGGTGTTGGCCTAAAGACAATATTGTTTCTTTGTCTTTTCTTTTATGCATCAGATTTCAATATTTTTAACCCTTTGCTACAATTGAAAATATTTGTATGAATGATATTTTAATATACTTTTACATAAATTAAGTAAATTAAATTGTGGTGATACCAAAGCAACAAAATATATTAACTATAATGTTATTATTGATATGATATTATTGCTAAGACTGCCTGTAAAGATACTAAAATCTTCAGTTTGGCATACATAACTATTTTTATGAATGTCTGATGAAATAAGGAATGTTATAAAGGTTTATATCAAATGACGTACTCGTTATACTAAAATAAATTACAATACTTCGTATTTTATACATTTATTCTTTTATCACATCATATGTTTTTCTCGATAACGACGGTTCCACTTTTATATTTAGCTTCCATCTCGTTATCTTAGAGATATACTTATAGATTTTTCTACGGATCTGAGAATAGAAAATACAAAATCTTTAAAGCATGATCAATAAATACATTTTGTACGGAAACCTTTTTTGGTTCCAATAGTGTTGAACACTACACGGTTAAAAAGTAATAAGAAATTCTTCTAAAGTTTGATACTATAAAAAAAAAAGGAATGACAAGTTCATTGTACAAATCACGTATCACTACATTTGTGATATATGAAAAATGTCTTACATATATTCATGCGCGTATAAAATTACAAGCCAGCCTATATATACATATACATATATATATGTATGCATTCTACACGATTAATGTCAGTCGTGTACTACGATTTCAATTTATTTTTCTACCAATAACTCACTAACAACTTCAACATTACAATTGTTCCAATTAATAGAAATACATTCATTAAATATTGAATTCAAACTTAGATACTTCTTTATGCTCATATTCAAGCCTAAACCGAGAGTACATAAATTTTCATTTTCTTGTAATTTAATATTAAATCTAAAGAGCTAAAGAAACAAATCATTAGCAACGCCTGCGACTTTTATGATTTTATTCTTAAAAAATACAACATATATATTTAGTTCTTTTTCAAATTTCAATTGTTAATCGTACAAATTAGTCATAAGGTATTCCAAAATTTCTATGCCTCTCTTTCAGTGCAGTCCCATGATACATAAATTAATAATAGTCAATAATAATTTTCCAATTAATCCAGTATAAAGTAAAAGAAATTTTTCCATACTTTTTTTTTTGTATCGTTTTACCTAGATTCCATTGTAATGTATTTGTCCCTTTTTACAGTCGCTCAATTACCGTCAAGCTTATCAATAGTTACCCTCCCATTGATATTTGGTTCTGGTAGGTAAAGCTTCATAATTTTTGTCGCACATGCAAATGATATAATTCTCCCATATAGTACTTCTAACATTGTACCAATTGTGTTTTACCACAAAGGGGAGTGATAGAATTTTAGGTCTAATCGAGTGTGCTGATTGGTACCGGCTACTTCTTGGCCACAGGTTGGTGACGGTTTCACGTTCTTTTCAGTTTTCTCAGTTTCTCGTAAAATGGTAGCCAGAGGAGTCGGTTGATGGTCTGGTAAAGCGGGTGTTGGTACCGTGGACAGTTCGTTGGTGCGTTGTTTCTGCTCCTCTTCCGAATAAATGCTCAACGAGCGTGGTCGTTCCAGTTTCGGTGGCGTTGTAGCAAGTGTGCTCGATTTTTCACTGAAAAAGTAACTTCCCATGAAGACGTCGTGGAAATACGTTCGTTAACAACATGCATTCCACAATCATAATTCCTTGCTGTGTGCAATTCTGTGTTGTACAATTACTATGATTATATTCTAAGTTATTTCAACGAATCAATTGAAATACGATACTGTTAACGAGTAATATTATCATATAAAAAATATTGTTGTAATATTACTTGGTTTTTAAACATAATTTATTTCAAAATAACTGTTGAAACTTTTCGCAACGAACCTTTTTATACACCTGTGTAAATAAAATAAAGCAGTACATCTTTGTAACTTTGCAACGAAGAGAAAAGAAAATACATCATGCATGAATGACGAGTTTTGCAAGTGACCCAAAAGAAATGACTTACTCTGAAAACAAGAGTAAGAAGAACGTGTTGCCAGACGAGTGCAGAGGATTTTGGGGATATTGAACTTGTGTTTTCATAGGAGTGGAATCGCTTAATATCTGTCAACGAAAAGGAAATAAATATAAAGTCCATGCGGCACATTCGGTGAACATTTTTTAATCATATGCACAGGTGCGAGTGACCGTTGAAAATAATCGATACATATCACAATAAATAAATATAACGTACGTACACACATACATGCGCAAAATTAATCTAACGAGAAATATGTGTTCAATAAATTAATCATATCTGTGCGTTAAAAAATGTGTCGTCGAAATGAAATAATAAGGTGATATTCATACTCCAAATTGTTCTTTCTAACAATTGAAAATCCTTTATAGTACTTTGTTTAATATCATGTGACTTTCAGTATCGTGGTTCTACACTTATTCTAATTTCTACAATATTTTCTCGTTTACACAACACCTATAAACGATTTCCATTTTATATTTCATATGTACAAATTATAAAGCGACAAGTTAATAATCTCAATACCATTTCATTATTACCGACGACTTTTTTTATACCACTCAAGTACAATAATACAATCGTGGCATCGAAAGACGCAAGTTCGTTTACCTATAGTTAGCCAGCTAAATAAATATCAAAACAAAGGTCAACATTTCATCGTTTGAGATTGTTTAACTAACGAAAGCAACGTAGCCAGGTTCCCATATATTTATACGTATCCTTTCGACGTGTCAGGACGACCTTGTTCAACCCAAAACCTCGGGGACAACATTCGAGAAATTAAACGAGAGATAGGATCAGGAAATATATTCGTAGCGCGTTCAAATGTGCGCTGGCAAGAGGTAGCGTGTACACATTCGGTGTAAAAATAGTGAAAGCCGTTTATACCACGTATTGCCGTGTTATTCATGTTTTCCTTAACCCTTTAGCGACCAGACTCGACGAGTATCTCAAAATCTCAATGGATAGATAAAGCACGCTATACAGTAAACTGAATTCTATAAAATTGTCAATCTAGCATATATCACTGTCGACTAATATTACATTTAACTTGTTAACAGTACATCTGTATAATTTCAAACAATATTGTCATTCATCTAAAACGATTCATCTGGTCATTGAAGAATTAATTAAAACTTCAACGCGTCAGACATACAGGAGAGCCTCTCCAATAGGTACACAGAAATTAATCGCTAATTAACATATAAAAGCAGCTTTTGCGGTATCGTTCAACGATTTGGATGACTATCTTTCGATTCTACTCACCCAGTACGCTCGGCGGATGGACCAAGCACAGCGGTGTTATGGATTATCTAGAAAAAAGCGTTAATGCACCCTTAGTTGTGAATGTTATAAATGTTATTATGCTTTGTTATACACAGTGTTATGCAGTGTTGTGGATTGTTAGGAGATGCGTCTAGATTTTTCATTTTTCAAGCGGCTAGCTATTAATAAACTTTAACTGTATAGATATCGTTACACGACATTGTAAATCTTCAACTAACATTTTCTATCATTACTCTCCAAGTGATACATTTGAATAAAAACTATTTTAATACAGAAGACGTGCTTCCATTATCCTATCTTAAATGTAAAAACACCGTTTAATCGCGTATATTGTGCTTGTGTTCGTTTTCATTCTTTTGTCCATGGCCGACAGTGTTCTATGGTGTCGTACTTACATTGGCCATGGAGCAAGGTGGCCGCGCCGCGGCGTATCTACCGAATGAAGTGCGGGAAACGGATGTAGGGTATTGGACCCCGTTCAAGCTGAAATAAAACGCAGATTTATTAGATCGATCATCTTTTCATATAACCTTAATATTACATCTCATCAATAAACCATTAAAACTACCAATTCTAAGCAATATTAGTGAATAAAAAATACATACTTAGGGTTACTCATTCCAAAATTATTATGAATCGCGCTGGATGTACCAATATCGATGGAAGATTTCGGTGGTAAACTGTATCTATTTGTCCTCACATCCTGACGTTCTGTAAAATAAAACACCAATCGTATTAATAAACAACGATCATCTATTAGTTCACAGAAGAAAGCTCATCCGAGACAAAGAAGTCCCTCGTCGCGTTCAACGACTATCATAATCTATCTTCCCTTATTGATTTCTACTTAATTTCCTAGAGTGTATACTCTTATCGTAAGGCCGCACGATTTAAAAGCATTCAACGACAGTCTGCCTTGCTGTACATTATCGAAATTGTGGAGAAAATTGCACCAGCTATTCGTTCATAACTGACAAACCGCCGAGTCAGCAGGTTTATCATTTAAGGACAGCTACGACGAATCGATCAGGGGATCCGCATAATAGGGCCTATTACATAGGATGACATTGACCGCGATTTTATACTTCTCCAGGTAAGAATTACCGATTTAGGGCATATGACGGCGAAGGACGAATCGCAAGGCGGATTGACCTTCGTTCTACCATTCCCGTACCTTTAACTTGAAACCAGATCGACAATGGACTCGTGGGCAACCTTGTACTTTTACGGAGACACCTTGAAGACGAGACGCGACGTTCGTCCAATTTTCATATCGTTGGAAATGCTACTGATATACAATCGTTGCGCAAGCGAATTAAGGACCGTAAATTTGACATTTCTTAACGAACGAGAAATTAATACAATTGTAAATATCGACGATGTATTTTCGTCAACGGTAGCAATCGTTCTTTAGTTGGACGATAAACTGTGTTTCCCAGTGTACACTTTTTATTGCAATTAAAAAGTAAAATCTTTTCTTTCTTCGTTGTTTTATCGCATTTTATTGTAGAAACTTTTTAGAAATTTTTCAAGTGAATTATTTTAATAGATGAATTTCACTGATACGATTGTTAAGCAAGCTGGTTGTTCATTTAATCAGAAGCAACTAACTGTACGTGTGTTAATGATTTACGAACATGATAAGCGATTGCTATACATTCTAGTGAGAATTCCACTGGCGTGGTCGTTAATGAACGAAGTCGCAGGTTCATCGCTTCGACGAAGTAATTAGAGACAACAGTTTAACGAGCTTTACACTTCGAAACTTCGTTTCTCTGTCGACACGTTGCGGAGCAAAAACAGACCGCAAAGTGGAAAAGTACACGGCGATGGTCCAGCGTGGAAAGAACAAAGCTTCTACGTAGTTTCCCTTTTATCTTCGAGATTACTTACAGCTTTTCGGTATATTTTCGGTTTTTCTCATATTTTCTCCTCTCTTCGACTCTCCGATTTTCTCTCTTCCAATCATATTCCAACGATAACAAAGTTCATTAAGTAAAATGTACGTAAAGTCAAGATAAAAATGATAAATTAATTTATCATTCTATCTTTCTTTTCTCTTCTTAATATTCAATATATCTGGTATGTATATACTTTAATTAGCTTGGGCGCATTAAGCAAGAAAAATGTAAATGAAAAATATTAGAAACTTCTTAATTAATGTTCCTTCTTTACTTTCGAATACTTTCTTAATTAACTTCGAATTAGTTCGAAATGAACTCGATGTTGTGAACATTTTTCTTGCTGGTGAAGGATCGAGAAGAAAGATAGGCACACGTACCATCGTCAAAGAATCCTTGAAAGACGACAAACTTGTTGTTCTGAGGAATAATCTTCGAGAGTCCGTGGTATTTGTTTAGAAAGGCTAAGAACTTCTCTGAAGGTCTATCGATCGCTAGTTTCACAGGCCTAATATTTTCTTCCTGAAAAAATTTCAAATAATTCCAAGGATTATTACAGTGAAATAAAATATAAGAACGAAGAATGAGAAGAATGGATATTCTTACAATGAATGAAACCAAACGCGATGATTTGTATTTTTTTTTTCTTCTTCTTATTTTTATTGTGACATAAAAGTCATGCAAACTGAATGAAACGTGGTTCGTAGCAAACGATCTAAACGAGTTCAGTCACCTTTTCGGTTACCTTCGACCGTAACACCCACGCATAATGACCTTTTGTCACGCTCCTCGTTAAGATCGTCCAATAATTTGCCACCGTGGCCTGAACGGTACTCATTTCTTATCGAGTACGAGTGACGAAATTAACGCTGGAAGCGTGCAAGCATTTTCTCTCGATATTTTTATTGCCTTTGTATATCAAAGAAAAAGGTCAGCCGAGCTTCTAATTTTACCAGCGACGATGATTATCTTAACTAATGTTTCGATCGAAAATTACAATCTTCGAGGTTTCGTGCAGTGTTAAAAAAAATTATTCTATCGTGCAATGGAAACGAGGAAAAAATAAAAATTGAGATGAACAGTGATGATTATTTTAAGTAATGCTTCGATCGAAAGTTAAATCTTCAATTTCGTTTAATATAAAATAAAAAAGAAAGGAACTTAAGTATAGAATCAAGAGAAATTAGAATTTTCTAAATTTTGATAAAAATCGAGATGAACAGTGGTGATTATTTGAATTAATACTTCGATCGAAAATTAAATCATAAATTTCCTTCAGTATTAAAAAAAAATTATTCCACCGCGCAACGAAAACAAGAAAGAAAGGAAACTTAAGTAAAGACTTAAAAAAAATTTCAACAAAAACCGAGATTAATCGTTATTTCTCAAGTTTCTTTCAACGCAAAGCAGAAAAAATAAATGCATCTTGGGAAAGTTTCACGGAGTAACGTTCGACAAGAGACAGTTAGGCGTACAGTTAGCTTAGAAATGGTGATTAGTGGATTGCACGCAATCCACGATTTCGTTTGGCGAACTTTACTCCGCCACTAACGACGTTTCACGTGAAATCAAGGGAAAATGAGTATCGATCGATGACCGTGTGTAAGAAACAGGTTGTAGGGACTTTGAAAGGGGCGTAATCGAAAAAAAAGAAAAAAGATCAGTCGTTATTCTGTTTGAGGTCTGCCTTTGTGTTTGGTTGTACGTTACGGTCTGCGTGCTGTTCCAACTGCACGGAAAAATAAGAAATCCTTCATTTAGACGGCACTCGTAACGGTACTGAAATAGTGACATGTTGCCTCTTATATCACTCTAGCCCGGCGCCATTTGCCGTTTCTTCTTTCCGCGATTGTTGCGGGGGGAAAAAAATACGATCTTGTTTACATTCGTGAAGATAAACAAATTTCTAATAACGTATTGAAGGAGACCATAGGACACAAGCATGTTTATTTAGCAATTTTATTTTATAATTCGTATTCGTTCGTTAAGGTTTCTTACAATGTTTCATAAAAACAGCATGTTTATGATATAACCTAAAAAAGTAGAAATTTTTCGTTTTTGTTATCAATTGTAGGTATTGAAAAATTACAGTTTCCTAGTTTCCAAAATTTCCATTTCCATATGCTTGCGATGGTGAAATAAAAATTATAATTATTTCAACTGAAAATGTGAATTTTTAATGTCACTTCTCTAATTTTGAGAAGAATTCATTTACTCACACCTGATATTAGAATTTTTTATTTTCACGAGTATCAATAGGATGCACGTACAATATTTCCACGCTAACAATGCATTTTTTTTTTTTCAAATTCTCAATTAAGAAATTTTAATATACAATAAAGTATAAGACTTAACTATTTAAATCCCAGGAATTCTATATTAAAATTTCACTTTAAGTGTATCATCAATCAAGGCATTAGGATGTTATCGTAACACGTTGCCAGACACGCTTGTTATCGAAGACAGGGAAATGAGCGGAAGTCTGGCTAGATGAAGGTATGCGAACGAATCTTTAAAGAACGAACGGGTTTCACGAGCTTGTGTATCACGTACGAAATTACTAACCGCCCACACGCACAGGATGAGAATCGTGTCCACGGTGTAAACGAGACATAATTACTTCCCGAGTAAAAGCAGAAACGCGTCCCGGCGATCTTGATCTAAACCACTTCCATGGAAATCTTGCGCAAAACCAGGCTGTTGCTCGTTAAGTCGAATCTTGCGAAACATTGTCATTTCGCAAAAATTTCTCGCGGGCAAACGAAATTGAACGGGACGAGGTGAAACGATCGAGAAATTTATGTTAATCAAACGCGACCCACGTTGAAACGGCTGTAACACCGTTATCGGGCAAAAGTTCCTTCGGATAACGAATAAATTCGCTTTATTCGAAATAACTTATGCTTCACGCAGAAGTGACGGAATTTGAAAGAATCGGAGGATAAATGAAAATTTGAAAGTTTCAAAGAGGCTGGTAACTGTTTTAAGGGCTG